CGGCCCGACACGCTCAGCAGCGCCACCACCGTCCCCAGCGGCGCGTCCTCGGCCACCGGCACCGACAGCGACGTCACCCACACCTCCGGCGCGTTGTCGTTCACGTCCAACACCTCCAACTCCACGCTGCAATGTCCGGTCAGCGGAGCGTGTCCCTTGTCTTTAGCTTCCACTTGTATCTCGTAAACACGAACATCTTCATAATCCAGGGGCCCCTTCAACCTCATCTCCCCTGTCCTTGGGTCTATTACGAACAGGTCTGTCCCAGTAGCAGGGATTACACTGCTCACTGCATACGACACTTGACCATTAATCCCCTCGTCCGGATCCGTGGCGTTAATGCGCACAACCGGTGTCGCCTCTGGGGTGTTCTCTGTCAACCGCACTTTATAGACTGACTGATTGAACTTGGGGGCGTTGTCATTCACATCCAGCACCGAGATCACCAGCTCCATCGTGCCCGACAATGACGGTCTGCCTCCGTCACTCGCCGTCAGCAGCAAACGGTGCTCAGCCACCGCTTCGCGGTCCAGCGTCTTCGACAGCACCAGAAACAACGATTTCCTGGTTTCATCTACGGTTTTTACTTCTAGAGTAAAATGCTCGCTGGGGCTGAGTTTGTAGGAGAGCTGCGCGTTCGCTCCGATATCCGCGTCCGACGCGCCCTCCAAAGGGAAACGCGAGCCAGGAAGCGTTGTTAATTCCGTGACACTGAGGTTTTTTAGTGGAACAGGAAAACGCGGAGCATTGTCGTTGATGTCGGTGACCTCCAGCTCCACGTGAAAGACGCGCAGCGGCCGCTCCACCAGCACCTCCAGGCGCAGCGTGCACGGCGCGCTCTTGCCGCACAGCTCCTCCCGGTCCAGCCGCGAGCTCACCACCAGCGCCCCGCTCGCCCCGCTCACCTCCACGCTCGCCGGACGACCCTTCGCCACCAGACGCAGCCGACGCGCCCCCACCTCGCCCGCCTCCACACCCAGGGCCTGCGCCCGCCGGCCCACCA